TTTCATTTTTCTTAGATGTATTTATGTTTTAGATATTTAATATCACATACTATACAGCACAATGGTTTCCTACTTCAGGGAGTTTCCTCCACAGGTGGCATTTGACAGTGACTATAAAATTTTTTTGGTTATCATAACTGAGAAGCACAATTGGCATCCAGTAAGTAGAGGGCAGGAATTCAACTATCTATCCTACAATTGTCAGGACAGCCCCATCTCTTTCTCTTCCCTCCCCCACCCCGTGTCTCTCTCTCTCTCTCTCTCTCTCTCTCTCTCTCTCTCTCTCTCTCTCTCTCTCTCACACACACACACACACACACACACACACGCACCCCAACCTGGTCAAACTGTCAAAAAAGTCAAAGTTGAAAAACTGTTATGTAACATAATTAATCTTTGTTTGTGAATTTGTGTTCATGTAATATATTAAAAGGTGGTGTGCATTTGTTCCAAATAACATATTCTCATATCTATCCTGAAAGAAGTAGGGTGTAATAAGAGCAATGGAGAAGAGTGGTGGGGACTAAAGACACCATGTGTGGTTTCAACCTTCCCCTGTGCAATGAGCACTGCTCTTTTGGTCAGAAGCCCTTCACTATAGTTGGCCTAATTTTAAGTTAGTTTCTTCTCAAATACTAAACTTGAATCATAGAGTGAGCCCCCAATTGAACATTTTAAATAGAAAAAATCAACCAGAGTGCTTTTATTAAGTTGCCTTTTAAAGAGCCTAAAAGCCAAGAAATGCTAAAACCTATGGAAAAAAAAGCATAACAAAAAATCACTATGAAAACTCATATAAATGACCAATAAATATGGATACAAGAGCATCTTCTCTTCTCCAAACATATTTCTTATCCATTTCTTTCTTGAATGTGTTAATATTTTTTCCTATCATAAACATTTAAAAATGTATATCGAAAGGGTAGATCATGTACACAGTTAGCTGCCTAAATAGCTCACAAACAAGTGCAATTTATGCCAGGGAGGTATTACATAATTAATTAGTAGAAGAAATTAGAAATGGGGGACAAGGGGAGGAATAGCATAGGGAGAATTACCTAATGTAGATGACAGGTTGATGTTTGCAACTAACCCCCTGCTTCTATTAACTTTTTATCTTATTTTAAAAAAAGAAAGCTGAATAAGCTTTTCTCAAAAAATATTCTGTGATCCTATTGTCATATAGAATATATTCTGAAGGACAAGCTGATACTTTTTTGTAATAAAGATATTCTTGTTACTTACAGTATTTTATTTAAACAAGATATTAGAAACACAAATATGTATTTATGATTAACATATAAACTGATTATAGTTAAGGTATTCCATGAAATTGTTGTTCATTAAGCAACTCTACCTAAATTAAATAACAGTGTTATTTCTAAAAAAGAAAAATAGGATGATACTTTTGTTAGTATAAAATTCTACCAGATCAGTGATACCCAGTAGAAAATGCTGAGCAGCACTATTTTATTTTATAGACAGAAGATGTTGCTAGGTAGTCTGACTTCTTCATTTACAAGCTATTGCAACAGGCATTTACATTTTCTTTTTTTTTTCAATTAGACTTTAAGTACTGGGATACATGTGCAGAAAGTACAGGTTTGTTACATAGGTATACATGTGCCATGGTGGTTAGTTGCAAACATCAGCCTGTCATCTACATTAGGTAATTCTCCCTATGCTATTCCTCCCCTTGTCCCCATCCCCCAACAGGCTCTGGTGTGTGATGTTCCCCTCCCTGAGACCATATGTTCTTATTGTTCAACTCCTACTTATGAGTAAAAACATGCAGTGTTTGGTTTTCTATTCTTGCATTACTTTGCTGAGAATGATGGTTTCCAGTTTGATCCATGTCCCTGCAAAGGACATGAACTCATTTTTTATGGCTGCATAGTATTCCATGGTGTATATGTGCCACATTTTCTTTATCCAGTCTATCATTGATGGGCATTTGGGTTGGTTCCAAGTCTTTGCTATTGTGAACAGTGCTTAAATGAACATACGTGTGCATGTGTCTTTATAACAGAATGATTTACAATCCTTTGGGTATATATCCAGTAATGGGATTCTTGGATCAAATGGTATTTCTATTTCTAGATCCTTGAGGAATTGGACACTGTCTTCTACAATGGTTGAACTAATTTACACTCATACCAACAGTGTAAAAGCATTACCATTTCTTCACATCCTCTCCAGCGTCTGTTGTTTCCTGACTTTTTAATGATCACCATTCTAAGTGGCATGAGATAATATCTCATTGCGGTTTTTATTTGAATTTCTCTAATGACCAGTGGTGATGAGCTTTTTTTCATATGTTTGTTTGCCACATAAATGCCTGCTTTGGAGAAGTGTCTGTTCATATCCTTTGCCTACTTTTGATGGGGTTGGTTGTTTTTTCTTTTAAATTTGTTTGAGTTTGTTGTAGATTCTGGATATTTGACATTTGTCAGATGGATAGACTCCAAAAATTTTCTTCCATTCTATAGGTTGTGTGCTCATTCTGCTGATAGTTTCTTTTGCTATGCAAAAGCTCTTTAGTTTAATTAGATTCCACTTGTCAATTTTGCCTTTTGTTCCCATTGCTTTTGGTGTTTGCCTATGCCTATACCTGAGTGGTATTGCTTAGGCTTTCATCTATGGTTTTTATAGTTTTAGGTCTTGTGTTTATATCTTTAATACATCTTAAGTTAATTTTTGTATGAGGTATAAGGAAGGCATCCAGTTTCATTTTTCTGCATATGTCTAGCCAGTTTTCCCAATGTCATTTATTAAATAGGGAATCCTTTCCCCATTGTTTTTGTCAGATTTGTCAAAGATCAAATGGTTGTAGGTGTGTTGTCTTATTTCTGAGGCCTCTGTTCTGTTCCATTGATCTATATATTTGTTTTGGTACTAGTACCATGCTGTTTTGATAACTGTAGCCTTCTAGTATAGTTTGAAGTCAGGTAGCATGATGCCTCCAGCTTTGTTATTTTTGTTTACAATTGTCTTGGCTATACGGGCTCTTTTTTGGTCCCACATAAAATTGAAGGTAGTTTTTCCAATTCCGTGAAGAAAGTCAATGGTAGCTTGATGGGGATAGCATTGAATCTATAAATTACTTTGGACAGTATGGCCATTTTCACAATATTGATTCTTCCTATCCATGAGAATGGAATGTTTTTCCATTTGTTTCTGTCCTCTCTTATTTTCTTTATCAGTGGTTTGCAGTTCTACTTGAAGAGGTACTTCACATCTCATGTAAGTTGTCTTCCTAGGTATTTTATTCTTTGCAGCAATTATGAATGAGAGTTCACTCATGATTTTCCTCTCTGTTTGTCAATTATTTGTGTATAGGAATGCTTGTGATTTTTGCACATTGATTTTGTATTCTGAGACTTTGCTGAAGTTAACAGTTTAAGGAGTTTTGGGACTGAGACAATGGAATTTTATTTTTTATTCTAAAATAAGGAAGAAATATCACCTGAGTATTCTCTATCCTATAATATGTTGTTATGATACATATGAATGAACTGCATAAACCCTGGCAGGTAATAGCAAAGCTATTATTTTACAGATTCCAATATATAAAATTAAACATATGGCTCCTTTTGAGAAAAAGTTTTTTTTTTTTTTTTAAATAGATACTTCCTTCTCTGAATCTTATACAAATTAATATATGTAACAAAACAGTTTATAGCAGCTTCCATATTGCTCGCTTCCTGGTATTTGTGATTTGTGTGACATCCTTTTCTGAAGTAGAACCTGTGATTTGTTTTTAACCAATAGAATGCAGCAAAATGATGGGACAAACATGATTACACATGCTTAATTACATAAGAGTGAAGTGTCCATCTTGCTTGAGTGTTTTTCTCCATTTCTGGCTTTAAACGAGCCACAAATTTTTTGGCTGCAAAGAAAGGAATTCTGCAAGTACTTGGAAGACCTAAAACGCAGATCCTTTCCTGGTTTAGCCTCAAATTAGACCCCAGAACCAGTCAACATTTTAACTGCAGCCCTCTGACATTCTAAGCAGGGGACTCACCTAAGCCAAATCCAGACTCTTGACGTAAAAAGATGTAAGATGGTAAATATGTATATGATTTTAAGCTGCTAAATCTATGGAAATTTGTTATGCAATATAGAAAATTATTACAATAAATAATACACAGAATTTCTTTTCATGAAGGAAATCGTTGGTCCATTTCAATTTTCTCTTTGTTTCTTCTCAAAATGTGATTCTCCTTCATATCCCAGGTTTGGTCAACCACTTGAAATTCCTCTTCAAACTCAACTCACATGGAGCACCTCTCCATTATTTTAGCTCCAACATGGGAGAAAGGACTACCAGTAATATTATAATAGGCTCTCCAAAAATAATATACATAGTCACACAAAGTTAAACAATTTTGTGTCACTTTCAAACTGCAAGAAATTTTATAGTCTTCATATACTAATATTCTTAGAGATTTTACAAAAGAGATAATATTCAATATTTTATGAAATTATCTGATAAACTAAGCATCTCAGAACACCTATGAACAGCTCATGGGACACTGTGCTACTGAGAACAGTTTAGGAAATATTGGTTCAGAGTTTCTGTTGGTCATTACACTAAAGCAAGTGATGAATGATGTAAAATGTGAAATGATTTGTATTCCTGTCTCATGGAGTACATGAAAGTCATCCATGAGAAACAAACACCATTTATTGATAATCAAGTCTGCATTTTGCCTTTGCATCACTTAACTGGATTTTTAAATATCTGTATTCAGTTCTATGTTTTTTAGAAAGATAGCCGTGGGTTGTGAAACTGTCAGTAGACTTTCAAAAATATTTACATCTCATGGGTCAAAGTAATACAAGTATTCTAAAGTCAATGCTCTAAGAAAAGGGAAGAGGGACATCTGGAGTTAGACCATCTAGATTCTGTAAGGGATAGAGTGAGACATGGGCAAGAAGACTAAGGCAGGATGAACCCTAATTTCAGTTTAGCTGAGAGGAACATTATGGCTTACCTGTTCACCCTAAGGGGAAAAGTTATCATTCTTGAATCCATGGGCCAAATGGAGACAGATTCCAGCTACCAGAAGTTCGCTTTCTGTACAAACAGAACAGATGCTGGAGATTGGGGAGAAATGACAAAGAGAAACAATCAAACAAACAAAACAACTCCCATATTTCAGAGCATCTCAGACATTGTTATAATGAGAGATGAAAGACTAATGAAATTAAATAGAGCCTCCACTTTCTCTTTCCAAAACAAACAAAGATTCATGTGTAAACCAGGGAAGTGGAATTTAGATTGCCCCAGGGAAGAAGAATGGAACTAGTTGAAAAGTCATTAGGAGAATATAACATTTAAGCAAAGATACAGTGAGAAGCTGATTCTACAGTTATGTGGGAGTACGAGTGAGGATGAGCACAACACATAAAAAAATAAGTGCCAGGGTTTAACAGATATCAAGGAGACTGTTTTGGAGATTTAGAAAAAATGAGATCAGAGACATAACAAAAGACCAATCTCTGTAGGGCTTGAAGAACTTTGGTTTAGGGAAAATCTTTATCAGAGGAGTTCAATGATCTGACATGTTTTTTTTTTTTTTTTTTTTTTTTTTAATTTTTTATTGGATTATAGGTTTTGGGGTACATGAGCAGAGCATGCAAGACAGTTGCGTAGGTACACACATGGCAGTGTGCTTTGCTTTTCTTCTCCCCTTCACCCACATTTGGCATTTCTCCCCAGGCTATCCCTCCCCACCTCCCCCTCCCACTGGCCCTCCCCTTTTCCCCCCAATAGACCCCAGTGTTTAGTACTCCCCTTTCTGTGTCCATGTGTTCTCATTTTTCATCACCCACCTATGAGTGAGAATATGCGGTGTTTCATTTTCTGTTCTTGTGTCAGTTTGCTGAGGATAATGTTTTCCAGATTCATCCATGTCCCTACAAACGACACGAACTCATCCTTTCTGATTGCTGCATAATATTCCATGGTGTATATGTGCCACATTTTTCCAATCCAGTCTATTATCAATGGGCATTTGGGTTGATCTGACATGTTTTAAAAGGATACTTCTTTCTGTTTGTTAAGACTAGATTGAAGGCATCTAAGTGCAAGATAGGGTGGGGATAGGGAGTTCTAGTTCATGCATCCAGGTGAGTAATGATGGTGACTTGAACCAGAGTATTAGTCATGATAGTGGTAAGCGCTTATCAGACTGTGATATCTTGAAGGCACATTTCTTGGGATTTATTAATGGATTGAACACAGAGTGTGAGAAAAATAAAAGAGTCTAGAATACTACCAATATTTTTGTCCTGACAAACTGAAAGAATTTATTTTCAAGTTTCTGATATGAGGAAAGCCACCTAAGGGTTTTGACAATAACCAAATTCTTTACTTTCAGCAATACAATAACCAGTGTGCTAAAACACCAGGCCTTCTTATGGTTCTCAGTTATTGTACTACATAAGACTGGAGGTCTTCTCCATTGATATAATCTGTTTTCTGCCTCTACTAAGCCACATAGAGGATCTCAGAGACAACTTTGAATTTGAGCTGCATATTTATTCACCAACATTTAAGTTAAAGTTTACTTAAATGTCTCCTATTATACTGTTAGTTTGGAATATGGGTGATATTATTTGCTCTGCATTTTTTTTTAACCTAAACGTTGTTGGAGATAAATTAGTGATTGAGTTCAAACTTATCTAAATTTCTGAGGAAGAATGTCAGTAGACAGATTTAATAGACACATTTTAGAAATTTAGGTTTAGACATCTTAAATGTGAAAGGTCTATGCAACATCAAGTAGAGAGAATAGTTAAATTGGAACACTAACCATGTTCTACACTATGAAAGTGCCATGTATTATATAAAATAAAATATATGGCCATATATAAAATTCACTATGATGTATATGAAATATTTAAAGATTTTATAGTAATAAAAATTTACAATCATATGATGAAAAGAGGTCATCAATAATGTATGTATTTAGAAAACAGAAGATAAATATGAAAGATACAATTCTGAGACATTCCATCATTTAAATGTCAGGCTGAGAATCATCAAAAAACACTAAGAAGAAAAGGGCAGCAAGAATGGAGCAAAATCAAAAGAGGATGTAACCCTAAAATTCAAACGAATAAAGTGTTTCTAGTAGGAGTGAGTTACCAGTTTTGTCTAATGCTGTTGTTTCTTGTTTTTTTTTTTTTTTTTCCCTGTGAATTAAGAAGTGAGGTCATCAACTGAACGTGAGGATGAAGGAGAAAATATTGAAGGTCTAACATAAGATAGGAACTAATAAGTAGAGTCTAAGAATACAAAAGTTAATGGACTAAGGAAGTGTAGTAGATTAACAGGCTACATAAATGGTTAGCGCTCAGGAATTTAAACACTGATACCTTCATTTCAGCAACCTTCAATTCTTGGTGTTTCCTCAACTACATATAGAAGACACGGCAAAGAAAGATTTCCCATAATGAATTTCATATAAAAATCTTATATTCTACTAACTTGCAATACTTGCATAAGATTAGGCAACATACAGAAAAGGACTCCACTTATTTGGGCTGTTTGCATAAATGGCAAAACCTGAAAATAAGAACTTTACATAAAATATTTGAATAATATTGATATACAGCTATGATATACTTTGCTTATCCTGCCCCATTGATCCTTCCTGGCAGTTTCAAGTGCTGACAGCGTTACTTAAATCCTACTTTGAAAGTCAGAGTACTATATATGCTAGAGAGAGAGAATGCAAAGGAAGGTTTTCTTTAGTTTTCTAAGTCTATGAGACTATGCTTTATAATGTAATAAATACTTATAGTCTCAAATTATTTGAATTTTCTAGAAAATATCTTCTTAAAACAAATGGTCATATAATTTAAATTAAAGTGTAAAAATAAAGGCAAGCTTGGGTGTGGTGGCTCACACCTGTAATCCTATAACTTTGGGAGGTTGAGATGGGCAGATCACCTAAGCTCAGGAATTTGAGACCAGACTGGACAACATTGTGAAATCCTGTCTCTGTGAAAAATACAAAAGATTAGTATGGTGTGGTGACTCAGGTCTGTAATGCCAGCTACTTTGGAGGCTGAGGCATGAAAATTTCTTGAACCCGAGGGGCAGAGAGGTTGCAGAGAGCCGAGATTGCTTCACTGCCCTTCAACCTTTTCAACAGACAAGAATATCTTTAAAAATGTTTAAAAATATAAATAAATAAACAAATAAAAATAAAGGCAAGATCTTGATTTATAATTTTATGCCTGGATATTTAATATTTTTAAATTAACTGCCTAGCAAACAATAGATGGCATTGTTTGTAATGTATGCTCAAGGTTTCATCAAGTCGTGAATAACCATGATATTTCACTAATTTGAATGTATTATCAAATTCTGCTATAGATACTAAACAGATTCAGCATCACATATATTTCCATTATGAATAGAAGTAAATTCCAAAATCTAGAGACACACACCAATATAAAATAAACATACATTAAATATATTGAAACATGGTTAATGAGGAAACTGTTGCAAAAAAACTCTAAAGCAGAGTCAATTTTTTCAAGAGGTATATTTGTCATGTTCTCTAAAGGGACAGAACTAATAGGAGAGATTAATATATTATATAGCAGAGTTTATTATGAGAACTGACTCACATGATTGCAAGGTGAGGTCCCAGAATAGGCTGTCCACAAGCAGCAGAAAGTCAATCCAAATCCCCACACCTCAAAAGTAGGAAAGCTGATAGTGCAGCCTTCAGTATATGACTGAAATCCTGAGAGCCCCTGGAAACTCACTGATGTAAGTCCAAGAGTCCAAATGCTGAAGAATCTGGAGTCTGATATTCAAGGGCATGAAGCAACCAGCATGGGAGAAAGATAGATGCCTGAAGTCTTAGCCAATCTAGTCCTTCCACTTTCCTTTGTTTGCTTTTATCTTAGCCAAGATAACAGCTGATTAGATGGTGCCCACCCAGATTGAGGGTGGGGCTGCCTCTCCCAGTCCATTGACTCAAATGTTAATATCCTTTGGCAACACCCATTGGGCAATGACAGAGGTCACTGAGAAATGAACTTGAGTGGTGGCCACAGAGTGAGTCTTTCTGTACACTTGATTATTTTTTTTTTTTATTTTTTTTTTAATTTTTTATTGGATTATAGGTTTTGGGGTACATGAGCAGAGCATGCAAGACAGTTGCGTAGGTTCTCTTCTGCTGAGGTCACCTATTGGTAAACACTCACATAGGATACAAACATCCTGATAGTTTTTAACCACTCACAGTGGTCCATCCACATACCTCTTCCCCAAATTTCTTTGTCACCAATTTTCCATTCCTGCTTCTTCCAAGTCCCTGATCTTCCAGACAAACCATTGGCTATATAACCCATGAATCAGTATATAATTGTACATCTGGTCATTTCTCCTTCCAAGCAAAGTGCACAAACACATGCCCTGCTTGATGTTCTGCCTACTGGGAAGATTTCCCTTCACCACTGTCCTTCAGGGATGTCCTAGAAATGGGCTGTAGTGCTACAGCTGTCCACTTTCTGGTGGTGCCTGCATATCGTGCAGAGCCATCTGTGAACCAGGCCATTGTATTTTCCTCCTCTGTCAGCTGATCATAGGGAACTCCTCATGAGGCCACTGGTGCAGGCTAGGGGAGAGAAGGCAGGGTGGCAGGAGTTGAGACCATGGACATTTGAGCCACTTTTTCATATAACTTACTTATGCCCTAAGGAACTGCTTGAGCCCAATCTCAGGTATACCACTTTCATTTAATAACTGAATGCTGCCAGGCATGCCCCACTTTATGGCCAGATGGATCAGAAAGCACCCAGTTAATCATAGGCAGTTCAGGTCTCATGATGATTTGATGACCTGTAGTCAAAAATTTATTTTCTACCAAAGCCCAGTAACAGGCCAAGTGCTGTCTCTCAAAAGGAAAGTAGTTATCTGCAGAAGATGGCAAGACCTTGCTCCAAAATCCCAGAGGCGTCTGCTGTTATTCACCTACTCAGGCCCTGCCAAAGGCTCCAAACAGCATCTCTGTCTGCCATTGACACCTCAAGCTCCATTGGATCTACTGGGTCATATGGCCCAAGTGGCAAAGCAGCTTGTACAGGGCCTTCTCCTCTTTTGGACCTTACTCATGGTACCAAATCTATATTAGTCAGGGTTTTCTAAAGGGACAGAAAAAATAGAATAGATTAACATATGAAGGGGAGTTTATTAGAAGAATTGACTCACATGATCATATGGTAAAATTCCACAATAGTTCATTTGCAAGATGAGGAGCCAGGAAACTAGCCTGAGCTTCAAAACCTCAAAAGTTGGGAAGCAGATAGTGCAGCCTTCAGTCTGTGGATGCAGGCCCAAGAGGCCCTGGCAAATCACTGGTGTAAGTCCAAGAGTCCAAAAGCCAAAGAACCTGGAGTCTGATGTTGGAAGGCAGGAAACATCCATCACGGGAGAAAGCTGGAATCCAGATGATTCATCCAGTCTTATCTTCCATTTTCCTCTGCCTGCTTTTATCCTAGCCACTCTGGCATCTGATTAGATGGTGCCTACCCAGAATGAGAGTGGTTCTGCCTCTCTCAGTCCACTGACTCAAATGTTAATCTCCTCTGACAACATCCTCTCAGACATACCTAGAACAATACTTCACATCCTTCAATCCAATCTAGTTTACACTCAGTGTTAACCCCACAACATTATAAAAAGACAACAAAAGTCTAGCATGAGATAACCTGAGAGAATATGCTCTAAAAGACATGTATATAATTTTCTGGAGACATGCAGTAAACTATTTTTTTAAATATTTCAAACTTTCACACAGTTCTAGAGAGCAACTTATTTAAAATAATCTGTAAAATCATGGCTAGAGATAGCAGAATATAGAATTAAATAAGAAATAAAGGATATGACACACAGAATACTAAATACCATGTTTGTAGTACATACCTAGAATGCTTTTGTAAAAAGAAAATCAACAACTCTATACATTGAAAAGTATGTCATCTTTTCCACTGAAATATAGCTGTATTTCTCTGGTTACAATGTAGAACTTTAATTCTCAGTCTAGGAGATCTCTTTATTAGACTACCCTAGATTATCTAATCTCACATCCTACTTATTAACTCATTTGTAAATAACGTCACTATCTTGCTTATTATTCTGCTCCCAAACTGTGGCATTTTTGTGTAGTTTACAGGTCTCTTTGCCCCATCAAAATATAAACTTATATGTCTTCTGCTAAAGATTTTGCTATAGAGATTGCATCAGTGTTTTTTTTTTTTTTTTTTACTTTTAAAAAAGAGATTTTATCTTTCTTTAATTTCTTTAAAGTAGTGGTAAGAAATATTCAGACGTCAGGTAATTGTCTTGATAGAAGGTTAAATATGGAATTGTAGGTATAGTTTATTTACTGACTTTGATTTATAAATCAAGGTTATGGAGGAACAAATGAAGCTTGGACTTTGTCAGTCACAGGGCATTGTGAGTTCAGACTACTTACCAGCAATATACCTTCTCCAATTCTTCTGGGATTGAGAAACTCTCTCATTTATAGAGCAATACTGAATGGCTAACGTAAGATTAGAAGAGAGATTTAATGGCTAAATGCCATAATTTAGACAGCTTGGATATATTTCTGGTAGGTATATTATTTTTAACAACAAAATAACATGGCCCATTATTGATTAGTTTATTAGACAGTTTTCTTTATAAAAAATTAATAATTATTTTCTTATGACTTTAATTCATTTGATAACATTACATTGGTTAAATGTCTCCCTTAAACAAGAAAGAAACTGAGACCCTGAGAGACTAGAAGCAATTCTAAGAACACAGAATGGATGGCGATGACTTAAGTTAAAAGGGATAAAAAGTGTGTACTGCCACACATAGATTATCTGAATAGGTTGTACTCTCTCTCTCTACATATCTCTATATATACACATACACACACATCTAATATATATATGTATCATATATGTAATGTCCAAATGTCAAAATTCTCTGTTTATAATACTTATAAGTAAATCTAAAATTATAATAAAATGACAATATTCAATTTTTTGAATACTCCTATTTTTTATTTTTCTACATTGTTTGAATATAAAATAACATTTTTCACAAGCTTCTGATTCTCTGCATCTAAATTATGAAATATAGTAAATAAATTTGAGAATTTACTCATTATAAAGAAATATTTTACTGGAAAAAATAAAATTAACATTATTCATTTATATATTAACATGAAAGTCCCTTGCTTCCTCTGTTTCAAAATATTTTAAAGTTCTATGAATAATTCTCTCTAATAATTGTTTCTGAAAAACAAATAAGTTATGTTAATATTTATATAATTTATGTTTGGTAAAATTTTAGATAAAATAATACTTTAAAAGCCAAATAGATGAGGAATATTAAGATGAACATTGCAAAAATGTATGTTCTTTATATGAAGAAATTAAACTCAGATATTTTCTGTGTTGAGAAAAAGATCCAAAAAAGTCATCTAGTTATTCCAGTGGGAGGCACCTGGTAATATTTGTCTTTGCTGAAACGTGCCAGTACAATATTCAAAGTAGTTATTCTCAAGCATGGTGGTTCTGTTTACTGCTCTGAGTTGGGCAGCATTCACAAGGCTATGATAGCATCTGGGAGCTAGAGAAGGCATGAAGATAGACAAAGCGAAAGTCAAAGCTGAAAGCAAAAATAACCATCTAAGCTGCTGAACAAATATTAAATAATCAATTTTTAACATTCTTAATATACTTGTTTCTAAACTTCTTTGAATTTTTAAAACAGGTGTGTTCAATAAAAATGTAAATTATGAGAAAATGAATGTACAACACATTTGAAAGTTTGTTATAAACAGAAGTGAATAAAGATGTGTGTATGTGTGTGTGTCTTTGTTCTTCAGAAATTACTATGTCCTCTCAAAAATCAAGCTGTCCTAAAGTTTACAGTAAACACATATTTTGTGAACTAAGGTAGTTTAGATTGTTTTGAGAAAAGTAGGGTACTGTAGTCTTTACTGCCCTGAAGAACACCTTTGTTCATATTAAAATGCTAACAGTTACTAAGAAGGCCTTCACTAAATCAAAGTAGGAAATGTAACTAAATGAATGTTCAATCCTTGACATTACACATTTTAATTGTACGAGATTTGGATGAAATAATAAAACATAAATAGCTTGAGGTTGTTTTGTATCTGCACTTATTTTCAAAGTTGCAGGCAAAGAAAAATTTAAGTACTTGGTAAATAAACTCATTCCCTTAAATACCATATAAGGAAACATTGGCAAGTTACAGCAATAATATGGTATTATAGCTGGTAAAGATAAAATAGTTCATAGAGTACACAGAATTCCAGGTTTATATTCAATATGGTTATGTGAACGAAAGTTCTCCGAAAACGAATTTGGAAGACTTTATTCCTGTGAACAGCTTACAAACTGGTGTACATACATACAAGATGCATGTAGCCTTTGGTGTAAATTAAAGGTTTGTTTCAGAGAACAAAGGAGACTTGTATCCAATGAAGTTTATTTATGCAAATAAGTATTCAAATCTGCCAAACTCTGATTGCTTGATACAGCTGGGCCCTGATTGGCCAAGACAGGCCATGAAAGCCCTGATTGGCCATTGGCTCTGATTTGTTCAAGCAGGATCTAAAAGTCCTAAACCTAGGTATGTGTTCTGAGAATTTGGAGTACATGTGTGACCTCTAGTAAGGAACTGGTTGCTTGACTTTATT